TGCTTTGCGCGCAACAAATGCCGCACTTTCAAATAAAGTCGCATAGGAACAGCGGAGATCCCAAAAAGTAAACAAAAGTAAATGTCTAATATCTTGAAAACCGGTGAATATTTTTCGATGAAATTTGGTAGATATTCGTTTTTGCTCTTTCTGAACCGAGCGACATCACTTTCATGCCAATTCATTAACTTTTTTGAAGGTGGGAGGGTCCCTTTAACTAGGGTTCGATCCCCGCCGCCGGCCGAACTTTTTGGCGCGTTGTAGGTTAGGTTGTAGGTTTGTAGGTTGTAGGTTTGTAGGTTGTAGGTCTGTAGGTTAGGTTGCAGGTTAGGTTGTAGGTTGTAGGTTTGTAGGTTTTAGGTTAGGTCAGGTGAGGTTAGGTTATGTTTGTTTTTGTTTGGTTTGTTTACCAAGAAGCATCTTCGGGTATAGCGCCTTCCTTTGGTTGGAAAAAAGAAACACGCGTGTCACGGCCGATTTCTTAGTTTCATATGTACTTTGTGTGAAATACAGCATGTGTGTAAAGCTTTAGTGCTACTTCCTGTGTCCGAGGGCATATATTACGTTCATTGCAGCGCCATATATAGAGGGCATAAGCACACGAATGCACACCATCGTTCGTTATGCATCCTTTCATGTGAGACACATCCTACAATTTACAGTCAATAAGCCACCTAATTCGTAGTAACAATTCTAATAGCCTGCTTCACGGTATCCGTGGACATTTCTATTCGGCTGTGATTTAGGAGTTTGCCAAACGTCAGATATGGCCTCTGAGTACGACTGTGTTTGTTCCGCCCCTGCAAAATGACCCATGCTGTTTAATGTTTATGCAGAAGTGTTGATCAAATCGATTGCCAGGGGCCAAGGCGCCGGATCAGAGGTGGCGTTTCATTTTCAGTTGCCAGGTGGCTGTCCATCAACTCTCGACCTTTGATCGATGAATACAATTTTGTCCGACTTCAGTCTGAACTGAAGCACGCTCGTGTCATGAAAGTACTCGGCTGTGGCGGAGGGAATTTACCGGTATTCCGGCAAGGTATCGCATCCGCGTGGGATTATCTCACGTCGAGTAGGCATATCATGCTAAGATCACAGGAAGGCTCCAAACTCCATCGAGCTCAGAGCTGACATGTGAGACGGTGTGCTGGCGCGCTGTCCGCCGCTATCTATAATTACCGGGTTTAGGGACATTGAGCACCAGTCAGCAGCGCAAACCTCCGGTCAAGGGAGCAACCCTCCGCTTAGCAGCGCTAACTCTGGTTAGCAGCGCCGCTCCCCATAAACGGCGCTAACTCCGGTTACCACCACCGACCTCCAGTTACCACCACCGACCAACTCTCGTTCGGTGTTACTGACTCCGGTCATCACCCCGACCCCGTCCGGCGCTAACTCCGGTTACCACCTGGTCATCACCACCGACCTCCGGTCATCATCCCGACCCTGTCCGGCGCTACCGACGACCGATGAGCGGGCCGTATCGGCTCAGTGTCGACAGAGGTAATTCTGAGCCGCCCACCACTCGCCGCAGGTCGGGGTCAAATGACAGACGTGGACGCCGCGGACCATCGGTCGTCCCCTACAAGCTGAGGGAGCTCCTGACTCCACTACGCTTGTTCAATGAGTGGGGCGCAGAAATTAAAAATGAAATAGGTAAATGTCTGATTGCACTGCCGAAGTTGGGGCACTCCCATTGGCCGGTGGGCCCGCTCGTGTTGCACAGTGTGCTTAGTAACCTGATGACGGCAGTGGCCCGGGGCGGCCGATTACTATGGAGTGAAACGGCACGCCAAGCCTCCGGCAAACCCTCCCCGGCTGGGCGGTGGAACTGGATACTCCTGATAATGTGTGAGCGGGGCGGTCACTTATCAGCGAGGCTGGGAGAAGGATGGTTGGGAGTTGGGACATTACTCATCGGCAGACCATCCCGCCGAAGTAGCAAACAGGTCTTGTGTTGCCTGTTGGCTCGACCATCCGTCTGCTCAGTGGCGATTCAACATTAGGCGAATAAGGAATGAATTGCCCAATTGGCTTTAATATGAAAATACATAACATTCAAAATTTGCCTTTGTGAGGAGAGAGAGAGAAAGAGAGAGAGAGAGAGAGAGAGAGAGAGAGAGAGAGAGAGAGAGAGAGAGAGGAGAGGAGAGAGAGAGACAGAGAGAGAGAGAGAGAGAGAGAGAGAGAGAGAGAGAGAGAGAGAGAGAGAGAGAGAGAGAGACGAATAGAGATGGAGAGAGGAACAAAATACTTAAATAGAACATCATTTATACCTTACTCACATATGCATTCACAAAAAAAAAAATGTAGACCTAGTTCATGCTAGCCTTCAGGATATCATTTACACGATTTAAGACCAGATGTGTAAGTAATGTCAAGGCGGTAAATACCAGGTGGCGTCACGAGACACTACGCACAGCCGGCTGACGTCATGGTGTGATCACTCGCGGGAGTTGAAAAAAAAACATTTATGAAATGGCATTTGATCTATACATTATATTTTTTCGTTAAAGTGTTTCTGATAATTATGGAAAAAATCCCCACACGATATATTTATCAAAGTGATTTCCTCAGAAAAGGTGCACTATTCCCACGATGACGTCACCCACACCGAACACGTTACAGGCATGCTAGTGACTACGGTGGGTACTGTTGGTGACCAGCAGGCATCTGAGCTATCATGTACCTACTTTTTACCTTATTTAGCGAACTGATGTTATATAATGCTGCGCTAAATTAAATGCGACTGAAATGTTTTAACACGGCTTGACTACTATAAAATCTTCCAAATCATTTGCGAAGTGAGTGGCGACCTCGGAGTCGGCTCGTATTCATCACTTATCGTCGCTAATGGTTCCCAGGGCTTTCTCCGTCTAGGAAAATGGAGCGCATATGCATGCAAATAACGACCAGTATCTGAGGAGGCACTTCTCATTGGGCGCCATTTCGGAGCAATATCCAGCACATTTACCGCTGGAATTCGACTCAAACCGAGCAGAGAAGTCTGGCTGTGGGGAAAATTCACACTCCACGGGCGCCGCTGTCAAAGCGAAATGTGCGTGGGCAAGTCGTGGAAATGAATCCACATTGTGATAGGTCTACTAGCGCGTTCAGATTTTGTTCTTGGTGGTGGGAATATTGCACCACCAATATCATGTTCGTTTCAACTTGGTAGTCGGTTCATGTGAGTTTCAAATGACGAGATTAAGCGCATTTATGTTTCATTCGAGAGGGGTTCGGTAGATTTGCCAACGCTTCTTTGTATGCTCGTAATGTACATGTGATGGAAACTGGACTATTGACGTAATCGGTACACGCTTCGTTTGAAGTCATATCAATGGAAAAATGGTAATCTAAGAAATTGAGGCACATCGAAAGTAGGTATCCAATAGATTTTGGAGCGGCAGGCATTCCATAGGTGGAACTTTGTGCCGAGCTGGGAGGGCCCGAGCTCTCCAAATTCGACGCCGGCTTGGCTTCGGAGCCGCAACAGACCACGGAGGTCAAGGTCACCGCCAGGGCGGCGGCGGATTTGCTGCGCCCGGGCCCTCCCAGCTCCGCACAAAGTTCCACCCGTGAGGCATTCCTTTGATTTCTTACCTACATTTTTGTCAAAAGTCTTAACTCAATCTGTGCCAGACGTAATTAGTCCTCTCGCGTTTGAAATCACCTAAGAGATCTGATCTGGCGGGGACAAACTAGGTTCTCTCAGATTACGGAGAAGCCAGAAGGTGCATTACACGCCCGATGTTTTGCTCTGACTGAAGCTGTCGTCAGGGGCCGACCAAATGGTGGTGTCCCTGCGAATGGACACGGTACTTACATACATTGCCGGTGTGCCGTTACATTACTGGTCGGACTCAAACTAATTATCTTGCCACTTAACGGGAATCTGGTGCAGAGAACGCTGCGCACCGCAAGACAAGGCCGCACTGAATCCTCGTAAGGCTAATAATCAATTATCTGCTTTCTCGTGGTGGCTTCATTCATCGGTCGTCATTGGCATCTTCCAGAGTTCGTCAAGATGGTCCAATATAATGAAACTGGAAAGCTCCCAATGGGCTGCCGTCCTGGAAATTGCCGTATCCCAGCCCACATCAGTGGTGCTAATGAACGCATTGCGCAATGCACATGCCTGTAGTTTAGACCGAGTGCAATGTATTCAACGTAATAGATGAAAAAGGGGCTTATGCAAATCACGTAGTTGTCATTTAAAGAAACGGCAAATGCAGGGGAGAACACTTTGTTACTAATGCGCCTCATCTTTTACTTTCTGTAGCGTCATTATCACTTTCGAAGGGCGTAAGTCATCCCATTAATTGCATTTAATTTCCTCTAGCATGACGTGCCTGATGGGCGAAAGTTTTAAGCAAAGTTCCTATAGCAGGAAGGAAATTAACTGATGATAATAGCTCAGACGGGCTGGATAATCACTCACGGACTCAGTCGTCGAATAGAGACCCGGCGTAGAAAAAGAGATATAAGATATAATAGGTAGGTACTAGGTAGATAGTTACTAGTTAGGTAGGTAGGTAGGTAGGTAGAGAGAGAGAGATAGAGAGAGAGAGAGAGAGAGAGAGAGAGAGAGAGAGAGAGAGAGAGGGAGAGAGAGAGCGCGAGAGAGAGAGCACAGACAGACAGACAGACGGACAGACAGACAGAATTACAGACAGACAGACAGACAAATGAATGTAATTTGACAGACAACAGAGACAAATGAATTTGTCATGTAATTTGCCCTGCATAATGATATGATCATTTATTTTCTATTTTCTTAAAATCATTTTACGGTCAGGGTTGATTCTGTCCAATCGAGACACCCGAATCTGTTCGGAAGGTTTGGGAACATGACTTGGCAGTTCATTCTTAAGTGACACTCATTACACGGCTAGTGAGGGATCGCAGTCGCACCGAATGTATCCTGAGAGTGTGCTTGGCAGCGACTCCCCATGAGGAGACTGGGTGCACGAGGAACTGACAGCGTCCCCCTTCCTCCCCAGGCGAGTGGGTGCTCGGTCTGACCATGTGCCGGATCTGGCTCATTGTCGACTACATCGCCTCGACGGCGTCGATCCTGAACCTGTGCATCCTCAGCCTGGACCGCTACTGGAGCATCACGGCGCCGCTCAAGTACCTGCGGCGGCGCACCAAGCGGCGCGCGCTGGCCATGATCAGCAGCGTGTGGCTGCTCTCCTCCAGCTGGATCTGGCCCGTCGTCTTCTTCGACTGGCTCGTGTCGCCGCCGCTGCCCGACGCCGGCACGTCTATCTGCGAGACCGGATTCGCCCAGAACCTGGTCTTCAAGGTGGTGGCGGCCATCTTCAACTTCTACATCCCGTGGGTGTCGATGATGTACCTGTACGTGCGCATGTTCGCTGTGATCCGGCAGCGCTCCAAGCTGGAGGTGGGCAGGTTCCATCTGGCCAACCGGACCGTCTCGAACGGCGCCGAGCCGGCCGACAAGCAGCGCGTCGAGCGGCGCACGTCCGGCTCGCGGCGCGCACCGCTCGACGGCTCCGTCAGCTACGACAACCTGATCCTGATGGCGCTGCCCGACCTCGGCGGCATGGCGCAGTACGTCGGACGCTACGACGGCCTGCACGTGCAGATCGAGCTGGCCGACGACGCTGACGGCGAGTCGGACCAGGCGTCACTGGGCGGCACGCCGGCGCCGCGCCGCCACCGGTCGCGCTCGCGCCGCGCCGGCCGAGGCGCCGTGGTGCTGCAGAACGCGGCGGCGCGCGCGGCGAGCTGCGCCCAGCGGCGCACCTCGCCGACCGGCGGCGGCTCCCCGCAGCTGAACGGCAGCAAGTCGCAGCCCCCGCCGGCCGGCGGCGGCAACATCATCCTGCAGCGGGAGAAGAAGGCGGCCGTGCAGCTGGGCGTCATCATGGGCGCCTTCATCCTCTGCTGGCTGCCCTACAGCATCCTCTTCGTGGCCGTCGCCGTCTGTCCAGACTGCGTCGACGAGAACGTGCACATGGGCTCCATCTGGCTGGGATACCTAAACTCCACGCTCAACCCCGTCCTCTATCCCCTCTGCAACGCCAACTTTAAACGCGCGTTCAAGCGCATGCTGGGCTTTTCCCCATCGCGCGAGTCGCGCAGGAACCAGTCGTCTTCTCAGGCACCCCGGATGCCCAGCCAGCGCTAGCGGCCGACGCGGTTCAGTGTGTGTTTGGTCTCACTCTCCGATCCACGGAGAAATGAACCCTCGGAGAGGGAGGACGTGGGAAGGGCCGTAAACAGACCTGGCTCCTGACGGCCGCCAGAGACCAAGTGAGGACTGCAGTGATCCTGCTGTCCGCTGAGCGTGACGGACATAGCAGACTCTGTGTGGATCACTGACCGGTGTGAGGTTTGAAGGCAGTGGTGGCAGTTGTCCAGTTGGTGTTGGTAAGGCCTGGCGAGGGAGCGGAGGCGAGTTGCGGAGTCTGTCCAGCACAGAGAGACGACTCACTGTCGATGTGGCCCAGGTTTTTCCGTCGGACAAGGGAGAGAGTGTTTGCTGTATTACTTCGCGTTATTATAGGAGATGTCATTCACAGGTCGACTGTTGTCGGCTTTGTGGATAGTGTTACCTATTTGTCAGTGTCGAATTAATGTCCACGACGTGATACGTAATGACTGGCTGCTGATTATCAGCAGTAAGTTGATATCAGTGATATATCAAGTGATGGATGATGTACAGCCAAATATTAGGGGCGCTAGAGAGCCATAACTGTTGACAATCCCTCGGATCGGATCTCACTGCTGCAGTCCTGACAGGTGATTAGTCTGGGCTGGCTATCGGACTCGTCCAGTTCTGTGAGTGATGTGAGGAGATTTGACCGATCGTGTGAGTCGGCAGACCGGCCAGTCGGCCACCTATCCGCCGTGGCCGCGCTCACCCCGTCCCCTCCGCGCCCGGTCCCCGCCGGTGTCTCCATGCCCGTCACAAGTACAATGTTGTCCGCTCCCTGTGAGCTGAGCCGAATAAACGGCGTATGTTTGGTGAGTGGCCTCTCTGCGCCCGGAGGTGTTCTCGCTCTGTCTCTGTGCCGGCCCTCTCCAGTGCGTCCGGTGCCGGGGAGATCAATGTCCCGCGCACATCCGCCGGTCGGCCGTTAGAGCGCCCATAAAGAGCAGCCGGCGCACGTATTCCGCCCCGGAGCACGGTCGTTCGCCCGCCGGGCCGAGATGATGCCGGCCACAGCCGTCGTTTCCGATAGGGAGATGACTAGTTGCGGTAGATAGATACCATTTTCGACCACTGACCCCTGCATCCCGTGCCTGCGTGCCACGTGCGTGCGTGGGTCGCCCAAGGCCACGGCGAACCAAAATGATGCGGGGGCACAGCGCTGCCACGGAGGTCGTTTGCATCGCAGCACCAGTCACACAAAGGCAGGCACGAAAATAGCCGCAGGTAAGTCGAGAAGGCCGCATTTCCGACCTGTTAGGTCTGAGAGCCGCCTGGCAACGAACTCAATTACGCATTCCATTTGTCACAGGCGGCATACACTGATGCATGTGTCTCATTCTGCACCGTTGCTTTGTGCATTGCACGGGTGCTTGGGCGCTCAGTGAGCCAACGTGTAGACGGCATATAACTGCGGATGGTCCCTCCCCGAACGACCTGCGCCTTCCTCCGCAGTCACTGGCCGTTCCATCCTGCAGTCACTGACCACCCTGTCCCGCAGTCCTGGTCGCCCCATCCTGCAGTCACTGACCACCCTGTCCCGCAGTCCTGGCCGCCCTGTCCTGCAGTCTCGGGCCGTTCCAGTCTAGGGCTGCTCCATCCCCGGTCGCAGGACATGTGGGGCGGGGCGGCCGGCAGCCTCTCGGTGCCGTACTAATTAGCTGAGGCACGGTCGGGCTGCAGCTGACCGGCCTGACGGATGGCCACCGATATGAGAGCGGCTCCAACCGGCGAGGACAACGGACGACGGACGGCCGCCATACAGCGCGACTCTCAGAGTTCACGGCGGCGTTTATAGCCGGCTTGTCGCCGGGCGGACACAACGGACCCACACCGAGCACATTGGTTGACCTTCCGCCGCTCAGTGACCGCAGTTTCTCAGAGGTTCTACACTGCAGTCCGACACCACTGCCCGGGCTTTCATTTAGCTGCTGTGTTCCTCCAGTTGAGCTATGTTCTCCGTCTACCGCTGCTGCTGCTGCTGCTGCTGCTGCTGCTGCTGCTGCTGCTGCTGCTGCTGCTGCTGCTGCAGCCCCGTCCCAGTTCTGCAGCTGCAGCTGTCGCGGAGCTCAGCCGGTGGCCAACCTCAGCCCGGCGAACGAGAGGGCTCTCTGGGGACCGGGCCCGCCGGTCGATGGCGCTAGAAATAACCAATCAACTCATTAATTGAGGCAATACAAAGCGAATTTCTCGGGCCGTTTACGGCGTCCGGATTCCTCGCCCACTGATGTCATGGTAGGTAATGAAATTTCCAAAAGTGCAACGCACGCGCGAAATAAATGGCAAGCATAATACAAAGGTATAGACGGCAAAACGAATTTCGGTTGCTCAGTGGCGCTGTTCCGGAACAGTGAATGGCGCTAAAAATAGTTGAAGGCCGAATCCGTCATGTCTGCATTAACAACGCCAGCCGTGCGAATGCTTCGAAAAAATGCAGTGATTAGTTTTGCAGGAACAGCGTATGCAAAATTGAGTCTCGCATACCTACATATGTAACTAGCATGTAATCAGTCAATTTCCTCACTGCTTTAAAAGTCATTGGGATAATTCACGCTTATTTATTTAACCTGCATATTAAAACTTATCCCAGGTAATACAAATATGATCAGACATTTTCAATAGATAGATCATTGTCGGACAGGGAAGCTTGATGTATGTACAATGACTGCATTATCCGTTATTCCCACGTTTTGAAGTTATCGAGCGTGTGAAATTCCACAGCCAACTTTTTCAGCATGGCTGATCGAGCACCGTCAGCCGCGGAAAATGAATCTTTAATCCAGGAAGTAACGCTTGAAAGATAACTCACTTTGTCTCGTGTTCATCTTTGCATTCATAAGCACACGGAGCATAAGGAGTTCTACCCATCATCAACTCATGCGAAGCAAACTTGAAACAAATGGAGCGCAAAGACCATTAGATACTTGATTAATACTTATCGATTATTGCTTGAAACGAGCCGAAACAACATGTAAATTTTCGAATGTGCAGGTCGTCAGCCTTCACGGTAAGGTCGTGGAGCTTCTGCTATTTCTACTGGGCCACTATGCTGCACAAAATTATCATACACCCAAATTTTACGGTCTCCCAGTCGGTATCAACGCCGCCACCCTGCACTGCCCTGTTTTTTCCGCCGTCAGCGTGTCTTACGGCACCGCCGGTAGCCGCAGCATCCGGGTCTGTCCAGCCGGAAATGAAGCCACCCCGGCAGATGCCCGTCTGACACGAGGAAATTTGCAGGCTGATGCCGGTACCGATTATTCTGCCCAGAGAAAGGAGCCGGGCTCGTCTCACCGGCCGGCGGCGCGGCGCGTGTGGGGCTGGCGGCACAGAGTCGGCGGCCGGCAGACCGACCGTCCGGCTGACACGGGGCACAGGGGGACTGACTGCACCCGGCCGGCCGACCGGCGCGGCGGACGGAGCGAGCGGCCCGACCGGCCAGCGATAAAGCCGCCGCCCAGAGCCGACCCGGAATGGAACGATAAAGCCGAACCGACAGGCGCAATAAGCCGGACACGCCGCCACCACTGTCCTCGCCGCCGCCACGGCCGCATTCGCCTCGAACGCGGAGATAAAATAAAACTTTATCGGCGAGGGAGGAGTGGTAATTCGGCCGGATAGCTCAGACAACAGAGACATAACACCGCTGCTTGTCGAAATATATGGTGCTTGTTACTTATAGCATTCTTCCATTTTGTTTTGCACTTTGCTGTCTGCTAGAAGACCATATTGTAAGTTGGATTCAGTGTTGGTTTGAGAGCACCCGTCTTTGTCTGTTCTGTCTGTCTGTCTGCTGTGTGTCTGTCTGTCTAGTCTTAGGTGTTGTTTTTATCCGCTGGGACTGAGAGCTGGACGTAGATGGGCAGCCGTATGGCTACCCATCTACGCTGGAGTACAAAAAACATCATCTCACGCTCTGTCTAGTCTGTTTGTTTCTCGGTTTCTATTAATTTATTTTTCTCTAGTCTTTCTTCTGATTTTCAATGTTCTGATAAACTTACTCCTCTCCTCTCTCTCTCTCTCTCTCTCTCTCTCTCTCTCCTCTCTCTCTCTCTCTCTCTCTCTCTCTCTCTCTCTCTCTCTCTCTCTCTCCTCTCACTCACTCACCCTCACTCCCTCTCCCTCTCTCTCTCTCTCTCTCTCTCTCGCTCCTCTCTCTCTCGCTCTGTACCGCCCTGCTATGTAAAGGCGTGGGTGGGTTGCATAGCGCTCACGGAAGCCACTCTCATCTGTAGTTATCTCCCTCAGACTCCTTCCTTTTCTTGCTCCTCTCCGTGTTATTGCTCTCCCCTGACGGCGATATTGCCCAGCTGAAGAGTGCTTGTGACGTATGTCAAGTTAATAAGGATGGAGCTGAATGACTGTTAATACTACTATGCGTTAATAATGATTCGGACAGTAATTTAGGCTAAACTTAGAATAATAATCATCACCAATTCTCCCACTGCTCAGTTTGTTCTACGTATTGTCTCTGATTAAATTTTCTTGACACTTTGTTCTGTATTATTACCTTCTTTATAAGTACCTTCAACTTCGTTGTGCTTTCATAAATTCGTTTGTAATTTATTGTTCATCATGATGAAAACAGCCAAATGCTAAGATCCAGTTACAGCTGCAGTCCACATTATCTGTTCAGTAATTATCTTACGCACATGCATTGTTTGCGACGATTGACATATTACAATTTGACTAATTAAAACCATTGAAGCATCATTTCCTTCAAGGTGAGGCCACCCGATCAGTCAAAAGGCTGTTTAAGTGAAGCAGTATCCAGCCTGAGACGCAGCACCGTGCTGCGATTTTGCGTAGCGCAGCAAATAATCGTTCTATGCATATTCCAGTGGACCGGTTGGTCCGCGATCCATGGCCGACCCTGATCCGGGATGAGATGATCCCAAGTCCCCTGAGATAGGGGCGAGCAGTGTCATTCCCCGCGCTGGGTCACGAGATGATATACATACGGCTACCGTGTCTGCCGCTAGTAACTCCATCGAGCCTGCGTGGGAACGGGCTGGGGTGAGACAGCTGTGATGGACATTTAGCTAGAGCTGGATTCAGAGCGGTGAGGGCGGCAACGTTATAAACGGAGAAGTATAATGGCGCAAAAAGAGAGCAACACATCCTGCCATTAATGAATTATGCACGATGCACACTGGGCCGGGGGTCCGGAAAAGTGCTAGAAATTATTTGTGATTGAGTTGTTGATCTCAGTGACAAGCAAACATGCTAAAAACGAGGTGGGGCTGCTTAACCCTCGCCGGACCTATTGTCGGACCCCCACCCCCTCGGCCGGCCGAGGGGGGGAGGGTTGATACGACCCCTTTTTGCCGTTTCGCCCCTAATGGAGCTAGAGCCTCGCGGAAAAAACAAGCGTGCGCGCCGTTTCAAGGCGGAACGATTAATACCCGATTTTAAGGTTCCAGGTCAACCGGTAAACTCTGAGGTGAAGTCAAAAAGCCCAAGGTATGGTTTGGTTTTTGGCAAATAATTTCCCAAAAAATGTTCGCAGAGCAGCGATTTTGGCACCATCGTGTTCGTCTGGCTCAGGCGCGTCGAATGGTATACTTTTTATTCGGGTGAGGTCAACTTAAGGTATTGACCTCGAGTCAAGGTCAGTTCAGAGCCCATCAGGCCACGAACTTAATCGAAGGAGGTCGTATCGCATATCATTCGATTCGGGAGGTCTTCCCGAGTCCATTGGTGGCTTTCCCGAGTCGCTGGCTCAATTTGATCATGAGTTATTGACGAGAAACTCCTATGAGCGGTGTGACGTCATAAATGACGTCATGGAAGGTCAAAAATGCAAAAGTAAAGCATCG